GACCAGAAGACTGGAGCAGATACGAGTGTGTGTTTCAGGTCTCTGATTTCAAGAAGAACATTCTCACCAAAGTTTTTGTTTGGAATCCAAGAATTGCAGCTGTTACTACTGAATAACTAATGGAGATTCTAATAGACAAGAAGAAACAGATTCAGTGCTTGTATATATAAAGTTATAACTTTTTTTATTCCAAAAATGCAAGATATCAATGTTATTAGTATTCTTAAAATGAATCCAGTTTAAATTTCAGGTTCACAGTTTATACCAGGGGTGTCAAACTTATGACCCGTGACACCAAACAAGCAGGAAAGATAAAGAAGAGATTAGCATGAAAACAACAAGACAGGGGTGGTTGTTACAAGGATAAGTGGAAAAGAATGGATGGATGTATTTCAATTAGTTCAATTAGTCAGTATTGTATAAAGAAATAACAAGTACTATTGTTGGGAAGCCTATCAGTGACACCTTGTGAAGTTAATCACAATCACTTTATTGGTTACCCTTCCAGCTTAAGCAACACAGCAGCCAATTTAACTAGTGATTCTGAGCCTTACGGTGCACTGGACATTTCCTTCTGTGTGGTGGCCAGCATTGTTATGCTAGTCTAGGCAGTCTAATGAACATTCTTGTGTCTTTCTGAAGGTGTTATTAATTGTTCACATTTACAAATTCTGTTTGCGTTGTTGTCTAATTATTGTTGTCCCACCGGGAGGAGAAACTTGGGTCCAAAATGGGATCCTATTGGTGGCTCAGCTTGTTAATAAAGAGGGACAATTACTTACATACAACAAATTCCTTGTGTAACCGGTTTCTGCTTCATCCCGCTGCAACAGTTCGGCCCAAACAGACTCCTCGACTCTGCGTTGTGTTGTGTTTTTTAAAAAGACAAGGAGTCTCTTATCGATCGTTGCCACTTTATTGCCTGAATGGAAACTATGGTGTATTATCAGTGCACAGGCTCGCCACACACCACTCCGCACAGCACACTACGGCAGAACAATGACAGAACATTTAAACTTCACTTTCACACTATTTGAACTTTAGAAACTACTTTAAAAACTACTTTTAAGTATGTTTGTTCTAAAAAATGAAACTTGTGTAGCCAAATGTTGTGGCCTCTCTTCAGTGCTGGCAGAAATTTTTTTTTCTTCTTTATAGTACATGTAATGCATTAAATCACACACGATTTTTAAACATATTCAAATAAAGATGAAATCAAAGGGGCCTTAGGAATACAGTGTAATAATGAAATGTTTTTAAAAGATTAGACTAGAGATTAGATAAAACTTTATTAATCCCTTGGGTGGGTTCTCTGGTGTCGATGACAACATCATCACCAAACTGAACAAATCAGTGATCCGGACCAACTGGGGCAAAAATGAAAATCGAACTGACAAAAGTGAGAAACACAGTGCTGTGCTCTGATTGTGCTTTTAGAATAACAGAAATAAAATGACTGTTTATTAACTGTATTATGATTATATATACTAGCAAAAAGTCAGTGGAAAAAGAGAGCAAGTCTGTGCAGCCAACAATGCTGCATATAATGTTGACCAATTGTTAAATTGGTTAATCTGAACTTGACATTTACTTAGCAAAAGAAGTGGCTTTTTCAAATCTTTGACCTGATAATTGGAAAAAAAAACTTTCATTATTTCAAATTTTCATTATTGTTTTTATTAGAGCCAAAAGTTTTTGTAAGTTGTGCTAGCACTGATTAAGGTTGGGTTTGTTTTCATAGAGAAAATAATCTATAAGCCATAAAAGGTTAAATCAACAGTCTAACATTTTTTAGATATGCTGTGAAGTATGTAGCAAATGCTATATATTTGTACATACATATTTGTACATAAATACATCATTCATCTACTGCCACATAGATCACACTACCATTGCATTAATAATCAGTGTGATAACAGGGAGGATGCACTGTATATCCATTATGATCTGATTATCTTTTACTCTTTTTTTTTTCCTGAGCAGAGAGGCCCATGATGATCCCCGTCACTGCTGCTGTGGTTGTTCTTATTCTTCTCATCCTTGTTGGTGGAGTTGGATTTGTTGTTTACAAAAGGAAGAAAGACAAGAGATGTAAAAGAGGTGAGCTGATATTCATATAAAGACTGGAAAACTGAATCTAATACTGCAGTACGTTAAAACATGGGGGAAGCGATAAGAGCAGCACAAGACTCAGTATCACATTCAGTATGGTTTTTCAAAATGTAAAAGCTGAACTTTGTTACCTGGATTATATTTTTCAGAAAACATCCCTATGTCTCGTAAGTATAACATTTTATTTTCTTACTTTCTTTCTCTCTTGACACGGACGAGGAGGGTTTGCCAATTTTTGTCATTTTCAGTCTCTTTTTTTCTTTTCTTTACTTTTTCTCTTTTACATTTTTCATTGTTATACATACAGTTTTTGTTTTATGATCAGATCAGTTTTGTGAATGCTGGCAGCATCATGGCCTGTTAGAGCAGCGGAGTCGTGAGCAGGTGAAGGTCTCTGAAGGTGTAGTTACAGTAGAAGAGGTTGTTGGCAGCAGTAGGAAAGCAGGTAGGCTGTGAGAACCTTGGGTTTGCCTTGAGTATGAATAAAGCAGTTGTCATTACCACCCTGGATTAATGCTCTCACGGTGCCAAAAAAGGTTAATCTGCCAAAAACTGATTTCCAATGTTTCCATGTGTTTTTTTAATGTGTAATTTTGTTACTTATATTGGTAAATAGAATTTTTGGCCACTAGAAATTTGTTTGTAGAACTATTGTTATATTTGTTGCAATTTCTGCTGCCCTCTTAGCCAGATCACTATTAAAAGACATTTATAATGTAAACAATATTTTTCCATGAATAAATTAAGGTTATATAAAAGTCCATCCATCTATATTTGATAGCATTTATGAGGAATATATTTGACGCATGTTTCACAAAAGTTGCAAAAACCACAAATCCTTTTTTGGCAGATGATCACGTCACCGCTGTCAGTGCCAGTCACTAGGGTAGAAGTTTCTAATGCACCACCTTTAATTGAAAATTAAGCTTTGGAAAGTTCTAAGCAATTAAAAGGAACTGGGAAGGGCTAGTACTGACAATACAGAAGAAACTATCAGAGTGGAAATAGTTGTCAGTCAGATATCTTATAGAGGCAGGGTCCTAATAGTTAATAAGGTGTCCTCCTCCTTGTGGCTTGTGGCTGCTGTTTTTCCTCAGCTGATTGTTTCCATGAACACTGAAGAGCTGAAAGGGGAAGGGAAGTTGCTGTTAGTGAGTACTCCACACCTGGAACAGTTTAGTCAGCTGCACAGTGAAGCCTTGCTCATGGCTGTGTGAAGGTGAGGAATTTTGAGACTTTAAGGGACACTGCAGTGCATCAGTGGAAGGAGGCTTTAATAGTTATCACAAGCTTTCAGGTGGAGGCTCTTTTATAAGACCCTTCCAAATAGACCAGGAGATTTACAGTGGAGGAGAGTCCATGTTGCCCTGCCAACAAACTGTTTCCTGGCCCAGCTAAGAACACACCAAGGGGAGGGTTGTCCTTTTCAGTGGGTTGTCTGAAACTGTGTTATATGTTTTCCTGCAATGTTCCAGACTTAGGAGTGTTTTTGAACTTCTTAGGTTTCTGTGTGATACGCTTGGGGAGGTTTCTTCTGTTCAGACCTTTATTCTGGGACCAGTTGCAGTTTTGGTTAATTTTCTTTTTGGTCAGGCCAAGTTGGCCATTTGGCTAACCAGGAAGAATAAGCTGAAGGGTGGTGTCCGGGTGGATATTGGTGTAAGCTTGGCTAAGGGTCCATGATGTACATCCTGAGTTTAGGAATAATGTGGAGGTCTTTCTGAATAAATGGTGTTTAGATGGACCATTTGTATGTTCACTACTGATGATGTAATTTTTTTCTTTCTTTTTATTAGTGGGTTTATTTTTTTCTTTCTTACCTTCCTTTTATGATGTGTTTGTGAAGAAACATGCAGTTCACACAGTACTTGTTATTTTGTACATAAAATCCAGTCCAGATGACTAACAGTGTGTTTTGGGCCTTACAGCTCCTAACAGCATCTCTGAACTGACTGAGAAACTGAATCCAGAGACCAAATAGACAAACAGAGGACAGAGATTTCTTCACTTTTAAACTGAAGAAGTCCCAGGAAGAAAAATCCAAACAGTGTTGTATGCATGTTGTTTAAAATATGTGATTTTGAATGTGCATATTTTCAACTTTTGTGGAAGATAATTTCTGTTTAATATTTGAAGAAATTTCCATTGTTTATTAGCTTTTTTTAAAAAAAAAAATAACAATAAAAATCTGAGCATCATTCTCACAGTTTGTACATTTAAAAGAAAAAAGGAAATGCTTCACCTGTTTTGTTCATTTTATATTTTTCTTCCTCATATTTTGCAAGACAAAACATCTGTACAACTTCTGCTTTGAAATATAGACTTTTACATTTTTAATGCAGTTGTGATTTAAGGGTGAAGAAGTTGTTGTGAACCATTTGTTCTTTTTATGAACAGATCAGGAGCAGCTGTTATTCTTAACTTGCTGTTAAACATTTTGTAGTAGATATGATTTATTTGTTGTTTTTCAGAGCTACAGACACCCGTGTGCAGGTTAAATATGTTTCCTTAACTGGACTTTGGCATTTTTTTTTCTAGACGGAGAGAATAACAGTTAATGTTTTTGATGCTACTATTTATTACATGTGCATGTGTAAAAGAAAACTATGCCCTCTCTTATTATTATTTTTGCTGTGGATTGTGAAGACAATACTAGACCATTAAGTCACATGAACACAGAAATCTAAAGTGTAATCATATAAATATTATATGGACATTAAATAATATATACATTTGTAATTCTAATGATGACTGTTATATAGATGAGAGAAGGAGAGACAGAAACTGGTGGGTGAGCTTCCTGCTCTCAACAGAAAATGTTATTTGCTCCATTAAGTGACTTCATCTGCACTATAACCAGTTACTCAAACACACTGCCATAAGGAAAATAGCTACTGTAAAAAGAAAAGCTAGAAAAACACATTTAGTAATTACATGTGATCTATTTCTTAAACCTTATTTTATTCTTTCCCCTTTTTATTCCCACTGACTCTTCTGGTGCAAATATCTCATAGAATAGAATAAAATAGACTCGTCCTTTATTTCGATTGTACATGTACAACAAAATGATCAAAAACAACAAGAGGCAGGTTCACTATAACCAAAACTCCAGACTCAAACATCATATTACAAGTTAGAGTTCAAAGTTCAGAGGATGCTCAGCAGACGATTATGTGCATGAAATGGACTGTTATGATCAGAATTGGTCAGAATTAGCCCAAATATAACAAATGTTACTTTTTTCTCAAGGAAAGCATGTTTAGTCTTTTCATTTAAATATGTATTTGTAAGTATATAATTAATTTATATATTAATATCATTAGAATTAAACCTGAGGTTGCTTATAGCTTTGACTGACAGACCTGATGACACAAATGCCAAAAAAAGCTTAAAAATTAACCAAACAGATCTAAACTATGAGGGCTGTGAGAAAGGCTGGCAAAAAAATAAAAAATGTGTGTTTTTTTTACAGTAAACACAGCAGTCCTTTCTCAATATATTCTATTTTATAAATTGAGCTGCTTTAGCAACATGAAAGTTAACAGGTGGGGAATGTTGTTCGCTATAGTCACAGCTTGTTTTTAACGATCTCAATATTTTATCTTGTCTTGTTTCTCTAAAACGTGTGTTGATCACCATTATTGACAGTCTGGTATAATAAGTAGCTTTGTTTGGAATTGTGCACGGCTTGTCTGCTTCATTGTTTCACAGAATAGCGTTATCAAGGTGCAGCAATAGCTAAATTGGCCAGCAGGTGTCACTGCAGCTATGGTTTCGGATTGTTTCGAAACCAAAATGATTCAAACATATTTGAGCCCTCATCCATCTAAAACCAGTTGTTCTTCTAGAGTGGTTCCCTGGTTAAACAGACTAATTTCAATCATTCATGAAGTCAATCTGACATTATGTTTCAAAGCTAACATCATGAAATCACGAATTAACTGTGTCAGTCATCAAATCATATAGCAGTGACTCATGCATAGTTCACTGCAATCTCTGTTTTCTTTCTTTCTCTTGTCAGGTTTCCATAATTTTACAGAGGAGAAGTGGCTGTGAATAGGATCAAAATACTGGTGAGATGACTGGCTTTTCACAGTGTGGTTATAATGGAGAAGACTTTCTTGACATGGCTCTGAAGACACTGACGTGGATCCCAATGAAACCAGAGGCTGCCATTTTTAAACCAAGATCTGACGCTGACTGAGCTTTAAATAAATACAATGAAATCATGCTCGCTAAGAGTTGTCCAGAGTTCCAAATGTGTAAACAGGTAGAATAACATGATGCTTTCTTAGGATACAGTAGTGATTTTTTATGTGTATTTATTTATTTAATTTTTTTTCTAATATTGATTTTCTTTTAAAAGAGGTAAAATGTACAGGCTATATCTCATTTAATGTTTTTAATCTTCAGGTTGATCCAATTCTGGGTCGACCCACTGAAACTGATTTAGGTGATTTTTGGTGGAAAAAATGTCCAGGCTCAGGCTCTAAATTTTAGATACTGTGTCTTTCAATTTAATGACTGAATCTCAATCTGTGAACATGTTTTAACATGAAATGTTCAAAATAGACTGTCTGCAGGCTGCATTTAAAACTTTAAATACATTTGATTCAGTGTTAGAGTCCTAAAGTCATCTGAGCCTCATCGTCGCTCAAATTTTTAAATCATCTCCAAGATCCAACAATTGACAGGCATTTTTCATTCATTGTGAATGATTTTAATGAGACAAATGATTGATCAGTGATCAATGCGTAACATACAGTAAATGATTTCATGGCAAGAAAACTAAGATGTCAGCTGAATTAATGTCCACAGAGTCACAGAGTTAGAAAGATGGAGACTACTCAAATTTTCTGAGCTCAAAATAAATCTATAACATAATTGCTGTGCTGATTGACAACTGATTGATTGTAAAAGCATTCATAAGTATACAAATTAGTAAAGTAACATTTAACTGGAATTTCAGTGTTTGTAAAAACGTGAACTTCTGCACAGTAACTTGCTCCTCTGCTCTTTGGTAGTGACTTTATGAATGAGGAAATGGATTAGATTGTAAGTCAGCTGGTTCAGGTGCAGCAGGAAAGGAGGAGTCAGAGAGACACTCAAAGTTTATTGATGAAAATCTGCTAGCAAGCAGTTTAGGTTCAGAGTCTGTTACCAGGGTAACTGCTAAGCTGCAGCTGACAGCTGAGCTTTCCAACAGAGGAGGGAAGTTCAACCAGCAGGTAAAAATTAGTGGAAGGTACACAGATATATTTTAGTAAGCCCAGGCTGCTTAACACCACTGTCTGGTGACATATAGGCTGATTTGGCAGAAACACAATAATACTTATGGAGAAGATGAAACATTAGAACATGTTTTATTACCGTTTCAAAACGTCAGTAGAGTGAAAGTTAAAATGGATTTTAACACTGAGAGCTTTATGAACTAATAGGAGGATCATAAAAGTAAACTGAAAGTAAATTGAACTGGGAGCCAATGAAGTGACTTCAGTGCTGCTTAAATATGTTTAATTTCCTATGTTTGTTTAAGGAGACTGCTTTAAGGAGGCTGAACTATTTTTTTCTTCTTGAGGTAAGGCACCACTCCCTACCAGTTGGTTAAAAGCAAGCAGAAAAGCCTGTTTGGTAGGATTTGTATGCAAGAACGAAAAGGAGGAAGACACACTATGATATTCACTTCAGCTAATGACAGAGAACCTGAAGTCTCTTAATGTTCGAACAATGATAAATATAACTCTAAGAAAACGCTACTTCCAGATGAAGAGAGTCAACTTTTCGGATAACATTGAGAAATCATGAAGTTATTTTTGTTGATTGCCTTTTGCCACGGTTTATTTGCAGGTAAGACAAACCTTTTAATCTTTATACTCTATCACAGTCTCATTTGAACTAAAGCAACATTTTTGTTTTGGTTAATGTTTCAGAGTGTAGAGAGAGGAACTGCATTTTCTAGGATTTACAATACTTGTTTTGAGAGAATCACATCTATTTTCACATTAAAAAGTATTTTAACTTTCATCTAAGACATGTCATTGTTATCTAAGACTGGACACAATAATCTTTAATAACACAAGATTGTGTTCTTATAACTTTCTCAAACCCTCTCTGTTTTAATCTCACACAGCTCTCAGTTAGTTTATTCTGTCTTTATTTTGCTACATTGCAGGGGCAAACATCTCACATTTATATAATGTTGTTCTAGTCTTACTGAGCACTCAAAGAACTTTTAACAAGAATTCACATTTTAGCCATACATTCATGTAGCATTTTGTCTGTGTCACATCCATGGACGGTTTAAAATCACCAGTTAATCTAATATGCATTTCTTTGGACTAGAAGTAAAATTAGGATTGGTTAGCTGGTGGATCCACAGGAAACCCAAACAGGCCCAAGTGAAGACATGCAAACAGAAAGGCCCTCTGCTGGGATTTTAGCTGGTAACCTTTCTGCTGTGAGGGGACAGCACTGACCAATGTACCACCATGCTGAACTATTTGACCCAAACTTTATGTTAGTGTTAAAAAAGTGTTTCATCTCACATATAAACTGTTAAAGAGGTTTAATAAAGAATATTGATATTACTATTATTTGTTTATACACATTTATTTTGAATCGATTTTGGTCATTCTTAATCACTTTCAGCTGGTTTCAAACAAATGCAAAGCAGATCAGCATGATCACACAACTTTATCAAGTTAATATTAAAAAGTTACAGACTCCTGCTACAGATTCATATTATGTCATTTGTTACTGCAAATTATGAATATTTTAACACAATCAAACTGAATGCACCACATTTCTGAAATTGTTTTCATGTTTAATTGTTGTAATTATTAAAAGTATAAACATTTTTTTGTTTCACAGTGAAACACTCACTGAAGAATTTGGTCACCGGATCCTATGGCATTCCAATCATTCCAGATTTTGTGGGTGTGTTGTTAGTTGATGACATTCAGACAGGTTACTGTGACAGCAGTCAGAAAACATTCAAAATACAACACGACTGGGCAGAGGAAATATTAGAAAATGACCCACAGCAGAAGGGCTACTATAATATTAAATGTTTTGAAGATGAACCAAACAAGTTCAGACAGCTGATTTCTAGTTTAAAGGGGGGAAGTGAAGGTACAGTATTTTTTTATACTTTATCTTTGATGGTTATAAATATAAAGTTATAGAAAAAATGAATCATGTAAAAATATTTTTAAATCATTAAAGATTTACATTTTTTTTTCTTCTTGACTGAAACCAGTATCCATCAAGACTTTTGCACAGTACTGTTCATTGAAATCGCTATTTGTCTCTCCTCAGGTTTCCACATTTTACAGAGGATAGATGGCTGTGAATTGGATGAAAATACTGGAGAAGTGGCTGGTGTGTTACAGTATGGTCATAATGGAGAAGACTTTCTTAAATTTGATCTAAAAACTCTGA